ACAGGGGGCTGGTAAGGGAGGACGGATGGACAGACAGACATACAGACATTACTAGTTTGGGGCAGTTCTTCAAGACGTGAATATATGCAAAAGAATCAAAACTATGCCCCAGACTTAATAACAGGCACCTCGAGGGCTTCCCTGGTGGCGCAGTGGTTGAGAGTCCGCCTGCTGATGCAGGGGACAAGGGTTCGTGCCCCGGTCCGGGAGGATCCCGCATGCCGCGGAGCGGCTGGGCCTGTGAGCCACGGCCGCTGAGCCTGCACGTCCGGAGCCTGTGCTCCGCAACGGGAGAGGCCATGGCAGTGAGAGGCCCGCGTACCGCAAAAAAAAAAAAATAATAATAATAGGCACCTCGAAGGGTACAACAGTGACAGATTTCCCAAAGGAAAATGACAGGGAATAGTAACAGGGAATAGTGACAGATTTCCCAAAGGATACCATGGGTGACTTCAGTATTAAATTACTATTATTGATGATGTTGTTATTGTTATAATCATCAAGGTGTAATTTACATATAGTGAAACGCACCCATCTTAAGTGTACCATCTGATCAGCTTTGACAAATGTGTCCACCAGTGTAAGCCACACGTCTTATCATGACACAGAAAGAATATTTCCATCACCCCAGAAAGCTTCCCTGTGCCTCCTTCTAATCAATCCCTACCCTGTTGGCAACCAGCAAAACCCTGTTTTGCTTTCTAAAGTCACAGATTAGATTTGCTTGTTCTTGAAATTCACATAAATGGAATCATGCAGTGTGTATTTTTGTTTGCTTCCTTTGTATAGCAGTGGTTTTGTGATTCACCCACATCGCTGCATATTTCAGTAATTGCTTCCTTTTATAGCTGAGATGTATTCCATTGTATGTATATACCGCAATTTGTTTATCCTGTTCACCTGCTGATGGACACCTAGGCTGTTTCCAGGTTTTGACTTTTGTGAACAAAGCTCCTGTAAACATTTGCGAACATGGTATAGACATACTTTCTTGATATAGACATGTGTTCCTATTTCTCTTGGATAAACAGCTAGGGATGGGATCACTGGATCCTATGGTTTGTGTATGATTAACTTTGTAAGGAATTGCCGTGCTGTTTTCCCCAAGTACTTGTACTCTTGTATACTCCTGTTGGGAACAAGGAAAGATGGAGAGAAGGGAGTGGTTACAGGTTACCAAACTGTTATCAAATTGTGGTATTGTTGCATCTGGATTAGGAGATCCAGGAAGCCTTTATGTGCTTCCCAGGGAACAGGTGCTAAAGCCCCATTAACAGATGCAAGGTCCCCAGAGGTGGAGCTCAGATCCTCACAGAGACCAAGCAGATTCAGAAATGCATCCTAAGAAATGACTGGAACAAGGATGTCACTGAGCCACATGGCTGCTCTCAGCCCGGTGAAAGCGGGCCTTTAGAAACTCCAACACTGAGAAGATAGAGAATATAGAATTCAAAAGGGGAATAAACTCTAGAATAAGGGAGAGGCAATCCAAAGGGATTCTCGTTTTTCCCCATGACGAAGTTCTTCAGTGCTTTTTCTGTGAAATATCAAACACAAAATCCTTCCCGCTCATTGTTCATCTTGGGGGTACCTCTGGCTTCACTGAGTCTCCCCAGGGTGACTGGGCACAGATATTCCGCACAACAGTGGTCACTGCTGGAGAATCAGAAGAGCAACCAGATACACGGGGTCCCGGCCCCAAATGGTTTGCATTTTCACTGCCAAGGGAAGCAATTTTGTTTTCTGTCGATTCTACCACCCAGGCTATGACACCTCTGGGCAAGTGTCCAGGGCCAAGCCTACAGCCCATGGGAACCCTCACACCAGTGGCCCACAATTTACCCAACACTCCCATGGCCAGGGCATTCATCTACCAGTGTGTGGTCTCAGCCAGGGGCAGCATCCCTCCTGCGGGTATTTGGAAATCCGGGGGTGGGGGCTGTCTTTGGTCGCCTAGCAGCTATGGATGTTAACAACAGTGACCCGGATATTCCCACACAAGGTAGACTTGTCCCTCCAGAATGCCACCAGGGCCCCTGTTGAGAAATTCCATCAACTTGAAACAGAAGAAAGGGTTGATTCTAAACTTAGTTTGGAATTAGGCGCTAAATTTCAGAGTGCGTCTCTTGATGTTCTTTTCTTTACATTCGCTGTTAATGAGGTGGGAATTTCCTTCTTGCTGACTTTTTTCAAACACAGTTGATAATGAAAGTAGGGAGGATTGTTCTAGAGGGTCCTTCTGCACAGGGTCCCCCTCTAATATTCAGCAGTGTACTGCTCACCACTGGCATGTGAGGAAACTCCCCCAAGCAAGGGAGGTGTTTTGTGAAACAGTCCAAGGCATAAATCTTGGATTTTGCCAAGAAAACAGCTATTGTGTTCAAAGAATGCATCCTTATTTATCCTTGCTTGACTCATTCCTTTTACATTAGAAAAGATCAGGGGATGTCGGAGTCTGAGGAAGCCTAGGAGGTGTCATTTCAGAAAAGAGAATAAATGCTGAGGCTGGGGATCAAGCAGCTTTCCCAGGGGCCAGGATTAGGACCCCAGGAGCTTTAGGCTGCGGGCCAGGTCTGCCCCTGCCTGAACCTCCTCCTCACTGGGCGTGGCCAGTACTACTTTCCAGATGTGATAAGACCGTTTACCCTGTGGGCAGACGGACGGCTCACATTTGAGAAGACAGAATCATGAAGGTTCTCACTCATTCATTCATTTGTTCATTCATCCACCACACATTTACTAATCACCCTCTGTGCCTGGCACCGTGCTAGGAGCTGCGAGTACAAAGATGAATTAGATGTAAACTGTGCCCTTCCCGGGTCTACTGCCAGCTGCCCAAGACCTGATCACCTTGCTCAAGGAAGCAGCAGGCTCCAAGAGGAGAGGAGACACAGGAGGTGCTGATGTGCAAGGTGAAGGTCATTTGTGGCCGAGGAGAGGAAGCCACTTGGCGCCAAGGTTCGAGGGGAGGGTGATGCCTCGTGAGAGGCAGGTGGTCAGACGGAGGAGGGTGCTGAGGCCACCAGAGTGTGAAGCCCCTGACACGAGGCTGCCTCAGAGCTGACTTCTCTGTCACTCCCCCTCGCTCCCCACCAAGATTCTGCAAACACGACACACAGGCAGGAGCTGTCATGATATCTCAGGGGTCACGACACCCTCCCTCCTGGGACTCAATGAGGCTTTGTCTGCTGTATTCATTAAACACCCCTGATGCCTGTAAAGATAATGAGACTGGCAACCAGAGGGTGATTTAGAACAACACGGACTCAGTTTCGCTTTTTCACAGTAGCTGCTGTCTTTTCAGTCAAGAGATGCATCATTAAAAGCTCATATTTGGGACTTCAGCTTCTGGCCAAGGTGGAGTAACAAGGCCCAGAGTTGGCACCACTACCCATCCCCTCCCAACGTCTAAAAGATATACCAAATATACAAAACAATGGTTTCAAACAATGGACATCAGGGCTTCCCTGGTGGTGCAGTAGTTGAGAGTCCGCCTGCCGATGCAGGGGACACGGGTTCGTACCCCGGTCTGGGAAGATCCCACATGCCGTGGAGCGGCTGGGCCCGTGAGCCGTGGCCGCTGAGCCTGCGCGTCCGGAGCCTGTGGTCCGCAACTGGAGAGGCCACAGCAGTGAGAGGCCCGCATACTGGAAGGGAGATGCCACGCAGGTCCAGCCCACTGAGAACATCAAGGAAATGGGGCTGAGAGTAAGCAAGACAGATGAGGCCTCTCCCCAAGGGAACTTGCAGAAAAGCAGAGGGAGCCAACAGCACCCACAAATAAATAATTACAGATTATGGCAAGTGCTAGAAAAGAAATGGAGAAGAGGCCAAGATGCCCCCACGAGTGTCTGGAAAAGAAGCAGCTGGGGGCAGAGGGGTCGCTTTGGTTGTCCCCATCTGAACGGTATCACGGGGCTAAGCAGACCAAGGAGATTCCTGCTGGGGTGTGTGGACCTGCCTGAGGTCCGGTGTCACAGAGGAACTGCGTGAGGTCAGCTGCTCTCTGGGACAAGCGCCTTTCCTGTATTCCTCACTGGGGTATTTGTGTCTATCAAATGGAACAACAGAGATAGTGTTCTCCAGGGTACCAGGAGTACCTCCCTCCCTTGCGCGGCACCAACTCTGAGGCCGCTGTTAGTCCCCCTTCTGCAGTGGGGACACACAGGCAGGG